GGAAAACCTCGTTTATCTGCCTCTAGTAATCGCTGAATAAGTGTTTCCTCTTCAATAGCCTTTAATCTATGGCCATTAGCACGTGTTTCTGCGCGTGGTTGTCTTCCTTTAAGGCGAGCGCGAAGGGTAGCCTCAGGCACCCCAAAAATCTCTGCAGCCTTCAGTATTGATTTGACTTTTTGATTTTTATAAGCTGCAATAGCCATTTGAATTCGGTTTTCTTGAGATAAAGGCATTTTTGATAGTGGTGGTGATAAAATGACGCGTTGAAAAAAGGAAGTGGTAGGGTGGAGGAAAATTCGTCGCTCGGTGGTATTCGTCGCTCGGTGGTTGATTACGTTATTCCTCGGTTTCAACCATGGTCTGGAACACTCCGTATCAAGCTTCCTCCGCACGTTCTGGTTAATTTAAATTTAAATTAAATCCCTCCTATTATCCTTTCCTGCCACCAAGACAAGAAGCAACAAGCTTCTCCGCGCGCGACTGTGTGCACATGGTTTGGTTCTCGAAGCAATTAATGCTCCGGGTATCTCGGCGTGGGGAGTGGAGCTTGACAAGTGCTCCGTGCTGTAACTAGGTAAATTATATTCATGGTCTATCAAGAACATATGGGTTGACGGAATTCTTCCGTTTCTATTGCATAACAGATTCTGGGTTTTCTGGAATTCAGGAGAAATTATCTCGTGCGCCAAGACAGCTTTTTTTCTCATCTAGGCTGTGGGGGGAAAGATGACAGGACTAGGTAGTTAAGGGCTTAGACCTAAGCTAGTTCAGTCTGTTCAGATATCTGTGCGGCAGGTTCTGTTCTGCTCTGTTCTGTGTGCTTCCCCCACGTCTTCCACAGAATCTTGTTGGTGGTGTTCTGGATTGTTGGATGTCTTATCTCTGCAGTCAAACGCCTTGACTTGCTGTTAGATGAACGTCCAGCGGGATCAATATTATTCGACAGCGGGCGAACCGTCAAAAGTCTTGGCATTGGCGCTACTCAAGACAAACGGAAGGAGCCACGGCGGAAGAACGCTCAAATTAACCGGAAGCTCGTCTGAGCGTGGGAGTGCTCGACAATGATATCTCAGACTTCTCCGCAAAGCCTCTTCGCGTGTCAAACAGAGATAACGCGGGGCAGTGGAATTTATTATGCAATTGAAATCACCAGGTGTAGTTGTTCACATGGCGAGCGCAGCGGCTGGCATCGGAGACGCCCGAAGCGAAGGGTTGCACTAGGAATCGCTTCGCCTGCGCGGAGGCTTGGCACTGCGACGCTGCAACAGCAACACT